TAAAGGAACTGTTGATTTTGTATACTGCAGTCCTTCACTTTCCCTAACCACACAAATGATAGTATAAGTTGGGGCAACACAAACGGGGTATTCACAGTGAAGGTAGGATACAAATCTTCACTAACTCAGATTGGGAATGTTGAGCAGTGGCTTTTTCATATGCGATACTTTTAAAACTACCCCCGAACTCAAATGTTTTTCCTTGGGAAGCAATCTATGAAGAAGCCTGACACAGGAGAGCATTAGCCGGATGAACATTCAGATAGTGAATAGATGTTACATATACCATCAATGTCTGGAGACCAACAAACACTTCTTCCTACACTGCCAAGTAGCGGCTGACATTTGGAATATTTTCTTCTAATTTTGGATTTTCTTGAGTTACGACATACAATTTAGGCCTATGAGAGCCGGAGATTTTGGCAAGTTGATGAACAAAAACATCGGAAAGATCTGGTGGATGATACCAACCAGTATATTGTGGTGTATATGGTCAAAAAGGAATCAATGGTGTATCAATTCCCATGCACTCTGTAAAAGCTAGTTGTATTTTAAACATATTCCATAAAAGCTAGGAGTACCTCTTGGATTTTGTCAGCTCCCTATCCTTCTAGTCTAAATCTCTGTGTTAATTTCCTAGTACATTTGATTTCTGCATCTACCAGACATCATTAATGAATTCTTGTTACTTCATCTATTAAAATTTTTTTTTAAAAAACTACGTAGCAGCAGCCAGAAGGTAGCCTAGTTCTGACCTCTCATTAGTTGGTGGAAACAATCATTATTGAGCAGTAATAGTAGGAAAATGAACATGATTGATTAAAAAATATGTTGCCTCTAATAACAACAACGGAGCAGGACTCTTCAAAATTGTCATCTTAGGGAAAAAGTTAAACATTGAACATTCTATAATCACCAGACGTCCATAAATAGCAATTAGGAAGTCCAACAGACAAAAATAATAGGGCAAAAGTTAAAGGGTTGAAGATTGTATTGTATACTGACCAGACGTCCATAAACAGCAATCGGAAAGTCACAGCGGATACAAATATGTACCCGTTTACCAGGCGGGCGCAGGGACCTCTGGCCAACAGTTTTGACAAGAGATGCAGGATTTACTGAACCAAGGCTCTTGGCTACAGGAAGATCAGCTAAAACAAGATGATCAGGACAAGCAACTCTAGCAGTTTCAGGAGGTATCCCCTTAACAACTCCACCACTCTCATTTGCTCTCTTGTTAAGCAGGATCCGAAGCATCTTTTCCGATTAACTCTGTTTCTCCACCCTACTTCAGGCTGCTCTAGGGTTAAACCCCAAATGATATAAACTACCATCTATTTATATAAATTATTAGTAATAAAATTAATATAATCTTTTTTTCATGTTTCTCGCGATTTTACTTTCTAATCTCAACTCAGATTCTTTAACTAGGCATTTTTTTGACACATTTGGCAATTGAATAATACACTTACTGTTTTGATGTTTTTGTCATTGTTGTCTTTTCTTAAAAAAAAAAATTAGCTTTTGGCCCGCTCAGGCTGATTTATTAATTGACGAAATGAAAAATAATTTGTCCAATCGGACAAAGTTGGCTGACCCAAAAACAACCAAATGAAAATAGAAAGCAAATCTATATCTATCTATCTATCTATCAATCTATATTATAAAAGCATGAACGTTCCACGTTAAATGTTGAACGATGAAACTATACCTAAAATATTAATCGACTTTTATGTCCTTACATATTTATTAATGAAACAAGTTAGAGGTGGATGTAGTTTTAATTCTTTTTTATTTACACTACGCATAAGCTGTGTTAAATGGTTGAGATATTTTTAGGGGATTACCGGAGAAGAGAGGTGTTCGTCCCTTTGTTCTTCTGTGCTGAAACTTGAAAATTGCAGTGAAGGAAAATCAAAAACCCCTTTGCAGTTATTTACGGACACGTGCCTTCATGTTTCAGTGTCTTGATTTTGATATGCTAGATTTTAGGATTCATGTTAAAAAGGTTTAGGCCTATATATATGTACACTACAACATAGAGGGATTTTCATAAATATTGGCACTTTAGTGCCTAATCACCAAACATAATGGTTGTTTCACTAATAATCAAACGTAGCATCACTTTTGAAGCTTGTTGTATCACTGATACATCTTTCTGAAATTCATGTTGTATCACTGATATATTTTTGTGTTGTAGCACTGATACAACTTTTTGAAACTCGTGTTGTATCAATGACACGACAATTTTGTTGTATTCTACATCTTCTATACAGAGCTATTTACACCAAAAAAGTAAAGATACTTAACAATTCCATTTTACTTTGCGAATGGAATTAGATCTATCTTCAAAACATCTTCCAATTCTCTCCTTCCACACTGACCACCATATGCATGATGGTATTAGCTTCCACCACTTCTTTTGAGTCTTGCTACCCCCCCCCCCCCCTCCCCTTGATCCAGTAACTAAAAAGGGTCAGAAGTGTGTTCTCGCATAGTCCAGCTGAAGCCTGTGATGTTGAGCAAAAGCTCCCAGATCTGTGTAGTGAATTTGCAGCGTAGGAATAAGTGTTTGTTTGTTTTCCCTGTCAAATTGCATAGGAAACATCTAGGGACTAGTTGCATTCCTTTCTTTTGTAGGACTTCTTGAGTTAAGCAGGCTCTTTTGATGACTAACCAAGTGAAGCATTTCACTTTGGTGGGGATCAGTCCTCTCCAAATACTCTTCCACTGATTATGGTAGCCTCCAACCCCAACTTCTATTCATATCAACAATATCTTAATTTCGTTGAATATATTGATTTTACGGCAGGTCCACTGTCTCACATACAACATTTGTTTGGAGGTGTTAACAAGGCACTCAATTTTGTTGGATACACTTTCTCAATTTAATTGGATACACTGATATAAGTTCAAAAAAAAAAATCCAAAGCTTGTTGCCTCTATAACAACAAACACCCCAATGCAACACTGATTGCAACTTGGTAGTGTATATAAGATAGATGTAAAACACCTAGCAAATATACTGAAAAAGGTGATTGACAAACTAATCTCAGGACATCAAAGTGCTTTCATTCAAGTCAGAAAGATCATTGATGCAACACTGACTGAAAATGAAGTGCTTGACTAGAAACAAAGGACAAAAACTCTTGGACTTCTATGCAAACTTGACGTGTAAAAGGGATTTTGATAAAGTTAATTGATCCTATTTGTTGAGTGTGCAAAATACAATGGGCTTTGAAGAAAGATGGGTTATATTGATTAGATTTTGCATCACCACAGTCAAATACTCAGTGATTGTGAACAGGAGACGTGGGATTCTTCTCAATCGGGAATTCATGGGATGATTTCTCTGAGAATATCACATACAAGATGGGTTTCAGGAAAATCATATCAAAATTTGGGAAGACCCATGGCTCCCTGGATCAAATTTATTTCAAATTGCCTCAAATGTTGATTCCTCCCCTACACATAACAGACATAATCTCGTATGGGATCTACAGTTTAGAAGGAACCAATAGAACTGTTGATTTTGTTACAAATACTCACTTTCTCTAACCACACAAATGATAGTATAAGTTGGGGCAACACAAAAGGGGTTATTCCCAGTGAAGGCAGGCAACAAATTTTCACTAACTCAGATTAGGAGTGTTGAGCAATGGCTTTGGAAACTCATACGAGATATTTTTTTTAATTTTGTCTTATCAAGGTTCATATGGGATAATTATAAAATTACCTCAAACTCAAATTTTTTCCTTGGGCAGCAATCTATGAAGCCTGCCACAGGATAACGTTAGCAGGAGGAACACTCAGATAGCGAACAGATGCTACAGCCTACCTGTACCATCAATGTCTAGAGACTAACAAACACCTCTTCCAAGGGCAAAAGTTAACGCTTGAACATTCTATAAACACCAGACATCCACAAATAACAATTAGAAAAAAACAACGGACACAAAAATCAGATGGTATTAACTACTGACCAAACGTCCACAATTAGAAAATCACAGCTGACACAAAAATTAGGGCAGAAGTTTAAGAGTCGGAGATACTATTCTACACTAACCAGACGTCCATAAACAGCAATTGGAAAGTCACAGCAGACACAAAAATGTACTCGTTCAGCAAGCTGTCGCCGGGACCTCCGACCAACAGTTTTGGGCAGAGATGCAGGATTTACTGTACCAAGGCTCTTGGCTACGGGAAGCTCAGCTATGACAAGATGATCAGGACAAGCAACTGTAACAGTTTCAGGAGGCAACCAGTTAGCAACTCCACCACTCTCATTTGCTGGCTTGCTAAGACGGATCTGAAGCATCTTTTTCCGATTAACTCTGCTTCTCCACCTACTTCAGGCGGTTATAGGGTAAAGCGCCCAAATTAGTTATGCCGCAAATAATTGAAACAACACTATATTTATATGGCTATAAAATATAATCGATTTTTATGTCCTTAAATATTTTATTAATAAAACAAGCTAGAGATAGATGTAATCGTAATTCTTATTTTATTTACATTACGTATTAGTTGTGTGTTAAATGACTGAAATATTTTTTGGAGATTATTGAAGAAGAGAGGTGTCCGTCCCGTTATTCTTCTGTGCTGAAACTTGAAGTTATTTACAGACATAGGCCTTGATGTTTCACTATCTTATAATTTTGATACACTTGATTCTAGAATTCATGTTAAAAAGGATTAGGCCTATATATATACTACAAAATAGAGAAATTTTCATAAATATTGGTACATTAGTGCCTAATTACCAAACACAATGATTGTTTGACTAATTATCAAATGTAGCATTGATACGATTTTCTGAAATTCATGTTGTATCACTGATATAACTTGCGTTGTATCACTGATATAACTTGCGTTGTATCACTGATACAACTTTCGTGTATACAACTTCCTGAAACTCATATGTTGTATCAGTTTACACAATAATTATGTTGTATTTATTCGTCTATATCTACACGTTCAACTTAATTGTATCAACAATATCTTAATTTTACTGAATACATTGATTTTAGGACAAATTGGCAAATTACAAAAGGGCAACAAAAATATATTACCCAGAACTGCAACAGCAAAAGCAAAGTACCAAGATTGAAAATATTCTAGTAACCACCATCATTTGATCCGAACAAAAAAGGTTTACCTTCTCTCTTACACAATGAATACTAATTTGACACCAAAACTGCAGAATTTAGAAATTGCTTCTCAACACACGACTAAAACATGTTTTACATAAACAAGTTGGGCTTAGTTGCCTTGTATGTGGTCTTGAGTTTCCTACTCGGTGGCCTGATTTTCTTGAACACCAAGGGGAACTTGATCTTGGAGTCGTGGAACTGCTTAGTGCTCTCCCTCTTGCAGAGCTTAGCTGGAATGGTGGCCGTCTTTATGATCTGGATGCAGTGATGGCGAACTCTGTGACGAGAAGCCATCTCAGTGTACATCTGCTCCACAGCACCATTCAATGTGGTGTCACGGTACTCCTTGTACATGTTATGGTATCCCGTTCTACTTTGGTAACGGAGCCAAATACCATAGTTCTTGATTTTTGTTGGGTACTTCTCAAAGATCTAAAAGGTTGAACAATACACAATCTTAATGAGGAGGTTCAATACAACATTTACAGTTAAAGGAGACCAGAAACTTAAACCCCACAGTTCATAGAAACAGGAAAAGATATTTCATGAAAATGACTAGAAATCTGTAAATGTTAGGGAAATCATGTATCCAATCCAAACCATATAAGGTCATACCAAATGGTGCAAGAGGATTGGAGAAAGGAATCTATTTATTTAGAAGAATAAGCACAAGTATAAGGATAACTGAGAAGCTGCGGTGAATGAATCCTTCTTAGCTAAGGAATGTTTGTTGGACACCCACCCATTGTCCAGTTCCGACTAGCGCTCCTCGTTGTCTTTGTTTGCACGGTCTCATAACTACCTGTGGACTTTAAACTAGCAAGGAAACCAAACTCTTCAACATAGTAAATCAAGACTGTCCACCAATAGACTCCCTTTGAACCACTTTACTTGTCATATTTTTTGTTTACACAACCCTTGAGACACTATGTGTTAATCTTTAATTAAGGGTATGAATATTATCAGACCCTTATTTATAACCTTTAATTAATCATTAAAAGTTAATCTTTCTTTGATAAATATTCTATTTTTAATCGATCTCCAATAAATAAAAAGAAAGTTAATCTAAACAATCACAATATTGGAGTATCCATTTGTGCTCTTCACTTAGGTTTAATGTTATTAGTCAATGTTTTATTATTTCCAAGAATAATTATTATTAAGAATAAAATGGGAAGAATTTACTCAATTATATCTTCATTTTCTAAAAGAAAAGGAACTATTTTGGACCATCCATTTTCAGTAAGGACAACAAGTAATGGGGTCCTGGGGAAGAAAAAAATAAAATAAAGAACTAGGGATATGATGTATAGATCTTGTACCAACATGCATATTTTCATGATAAAACAATGAAGCCTCAGAGTTTGGGTCATCTATAGGAATCCCCCACTCTCCATTTTGCTCCTTTTGAAGCCGTACTATTCCAATATTCCAATAACCAGCACTCTAGTATTTCTATGCACTCGAGTAATTCTGATCACCAAAGTTCAGACAGATGGGAAATAATCACCAAAAATCTCTTCTTATTTCTCCTTTTTGTACTATATGGGGAATCTACCGTTAAGCTAGAACTTAGACTTCCCTCACACAGACTTGGATCATGATCGTGATCCATGTTCACCACCCCCACCACCCAAAAAGAAACATGATCAAACCTAAATGCAAACTCATATACATACGCTCTGTTAATGAAAGTTAATGAATGAAAGAGGAATATGATCACAAACTATAGTTGTTGCATGGGATGCTCATTTGAAACCTTTGTCTTATCAATGCGAGAAAGACAGAAGTTCAGACTGCAATCCCGGTTAGTAACTTCTATTACTAATAGCGATCCCGATTAGATATTACCCCCTCCGGACCACTTTACTTGTCGACCTTACTAAAAATAGATGGTCCAAAAATAATTGTCATTTAAGAAAATCAAGATATAATTGAGTACAGCCTTCCCATATTAACCTTAGTAATAATTATTTTGAAAGTAATAAACATTGATTAATTAGCATAGGCAACCTACGTGTAGAGATACACGTACTCCAATGTTATATTTGCTTAAGATAATCTCTCTTTTTGTTTATTGATTAGAGATTAAAGAGAAAATATTGAAGAGAGACCAACATTTTAAATGATTAATGATAATACATAAGAATATGATAATCAAAACACATAGTTCATAAGGGACATGCAAACAAAAAATGTGACAAGTAAAGTGGTCCAAAGGGAGTCTATACTGGCTAACACACTATTAGGGTCACCTCTCTAAGTTAGACCAGTTGAACTCCTCATAAGTACCGGTCTGACCAATGATGGGTTGCACATCTACACCTCGAGCATCTGGATATTTCAATCTATGCAAAACTGTATTTAGAATGGTTACTCACCCTAAACAACTCATTTTCTATAAAGCCAAATCCAGACAAAGTCCTACATAAAGGTCAACTCATCTAGATGCTCTCTTAATTTCAGACATAAGAACATGAATCGCCAAATTTTGAGGTCACTATGGTGTCTCGGATTTTTAAAAAAGTGAGGTTGGAAGTTGCATATTTTAGCTAGAACTATTGGTTCCCTAACTTAATTTGTAGCTAAATCTGCTGAGATACATATAAAAGGCCATTTCAGGTAGCAACTAATTTTTAGTTCTTTTGGGCAATTTTAGGCAAAGATCTTCATCTAAAGCATTAAATTTCTAAGAGGCTTCATAAGGTGAATGATTCTCTACCACTTTGTAATTATCACACTCAATTTCATCCATTAAATCATTTGACTGAGATGTAAAAGTGTTAATCCTACAGAATTTTAAAATATCAAATTGAATCAGTAAATGACATCAAAATTAGAAATTAATATTAGATTTTGTTTTACCCACTTCAAGGGTTTTCCCAAAATATATCTTTCAACACATTTGGGTGTTGATGGCCACGGGTTAACTTCAACTTTGACCAGATTTGGACTTCTTGGAAAATGACTTGTGTAAGGCAACTAATTCTAAATCTGTTTTTGAATAGAATGAGATATTCAGGAGGCCCGAGGGCATAGTTTTGATCATTGTGAGCTGGATAGAACTACGTTACCAAGTAGGGGATCTTAACTCTTGAGTCACTTCTTTAAGAACAGCAACAAAAGTTATGATGCTTTCATGATTTGTAATCATGGAGGTCTTTTCATGGGAGCTTCCAGCAGAACTTGAAAGAGTTGGAAGCAGAAGTATATAGTCCAATACATGAGGGGAGGAGTTGAATGCAGGCACACTGATGCAAAGTGCTTGAATTATAGGCATTAAGTGGACAGGATATGAATGTGCGTGTTTATGCACAAAACATTGCAAATAGCAATTAAATTCAGCACATATATATTAGTGATAGGAAAGTGATAGGAAATTCAAAATGGAATCTCAAAAGTCCAAGCCAGCTGAAGTTGAATGGATATTGAAAATGCAAATCTCAAAAGTAGTCAAAATCCATTTCAAAATAAGCAATGTACAAACAGACTAATCACAGGCACATAAAGGCCATATAACACTTCCACAGAGGCAATCCTCATATATCACATATAACATTGCACTGGGTTACCCAAAAGAATGAATCAATTAGAACCCCAACACTTGAAACCTGAACAAAACAAACCAAATACGGGGCAAGGCACCCAAGTTGCTATCTTTAAACTAATAATCACAACATTTCTAACACACACAATCCAAAAATACACATAGAGAAATGTATCTCATCATACCTCATTAATAGCCAGCATCTGCCCGTTGCTCTTCTTCACCTTCTTAAGTTTCCTCAGAAAATACCTTTTATTCGAACAAACCACAATTAGCCTAACCATTAACCAGCATAAATACATCAAGTAGATCGATAGGAAACGAGATGTAAATACCAGAACTTGGACTTAGCACGAACTTCATTGGTAGCCCACAGCTTCATACGATAAATCTTGGGATGCTCATCTGATTCAGATGGCAAAGCTCTTCCAACAACCTGATACTGATGGAACTGCAATGACAACAATAAAACACCATTGTTTATTCAAATCTTTGAAAGAATCGGATAAAAATGCAAAATTTTGGAAACCCATTAAAGAAAAGAAAAACCCTTTACCTTGTAATTCACCATTTTTGCACAGCTATTCCCTCTGCGACGCTTCTGAATACGAAAGGGAAGAAGAGCGAAGAGAAAGAAAGGTTTTAAGTTAAAAAGGGCCTCCACAAAAACCCTAGTTTCAAAGGGCTACTAATTTGGGCTGTAAACGGAGTGGGCTTAGTCTTTAATGAACCGGCCCATTTAATTAATATTGAGAGAAAATTTCATAACTAGCCGCATTTTGATGCGTGTATATATAGAGTCCCGAGCCAAAAGAATAAAAAAATGGTGTAAAATTTTCAAAAGGGAAATAAAAATTGAGGATCAAACCATAAGGGTAACATTTGGATGAAAGGATGGATGTCGTTAAATCGTAGGTTGGAAGGCACACGTTGACATGAGCCTAACAATTACAACATAAAAAAACATTTAAAAAATAGTAATATTTTCTTTCCCGTTATTTATACAATCGTTTTGTTGTTGTATTTTCATGTTTATTCAAACTGTTAAGAACCGATAATGTGATAACAAAAAAAATAAAACTATTATCAATTAAATATTGAACCCATTAAATTTAAATTGATCATAATCAATCTCTCGTGGCACACACTTATTTGTAGATACGTACGCACATATATAGTTCTGTAATTTTATAAAATATACATATTACACTGATGACATATTTATATATATTATTAATAATTGAATTTTAAAAGCCATGAATCTTAGTATCAGGCTTATTTATATGTATTTATATATATTCTTTACTATTCATTCAATCGTTTTGTTATTGTGTTTTCGTGTTTATTTTTTTTCTATTTTTACTATTTATATGTAAATAAAAATGTAAGTGATGCGGTCAAGTTAAATAGCTTTTTTATATACATAATTTGATAATATTGAAGACAAAATATAGGGACATGAATTTTTTTTTTATATAAAAGGCAAATCTTCTAATGTTGAATTTTTGTGTTTTGAGCTTTGCCTTCAATCCTACCTTGAGGAAAAGGCCGCTAAGGAAGGTCTTTTAACCATAATGCCTCTGTGGACGGGCGGTGTGCTCCATTCTTAGTATTGCACAGTCGCCCCTGCGTGGGTAGAGGCGTGGAGGCAAGCGAATAAAAGTAGTCTTTCTCTGCAGCAAGCATATTCAAGTACCGAACAGTTCGAGGAGTAAGCTTATCGATGCTGAACTCTATTCCTTAGGTTCGAACGTTTGTAAGAGGAGCCTTATGTCATATGCCCTTCTTTCTAAAAAGTGGAGTTTTGACAGACTCTTTGTGCCTATGTGTGAAAATGAGTATGTGAACAGGACATCTTTCAAACATCGAGATGAAATAAGTCATGGGGCCGGCAAACGAAACTAAGAGTTGCTCAAGGCACCACGAGCCCTTGGCACAACGATCTGGTCAAACAAAGCGATATTATTTTTAATTCATTTTTGAATCCCTGGGTATCAAGCAATCCGTTTAGATCTATTTTAGTCGATGAAAATTTTGGGTTTGCACAAAATACACATCAAAATGAATTTCAAAAACTCACCATTTGGTGTTGGGAGATTAATTTTTTCAAGGTAAGTAATACACTCTTTAAATAATTATTGAAATATTTAATTTATATTAAATTATGTGTCAATAATTTTACATCTTATTGCAGAATGACATGTCTCAAAGTCAAAATGATATATATATATATTATGTTAAACAAATTTATCTTGTGATTAAAAAAAAACAAAGTGAGGAGGAAAATGTTTTTTCACAAAAAAGAAAGGAAATCACTATATAAATTTTATGTTAATTTTTTTTTAAGAATGTAATAATTACTCTAAAACTAATCCCCAAATTTAATTATTTCTCATCCCTCTTTAGCCCCTTAAAAAAAATTAAAATTTGTATACTAAAATTGCAAATATATCCAAATTAAGGGTTACTTTTATAGTATTATCAAACTTAAACTGAAGAAGCATTTTGACTATTTTAGCTCTGCAACTTCCCTGATTTCAGCTCCAAAATTCTTCACTCTTCATTCTTCAATCTCTCGTAAATCCTCTGGAAAAACCCCCTAATTGTTAGGGTTTTAGTAAAACTCTTCAAATTCTCGTGAAAATTCACTTCATTGTTTCATTTTTGAAGTTTCAGCGAATCAAAATTGCGAAAGTTGTGATTCGAATCGACGATCTAGATGAAAACTAGGGTTTTTTTACTCTGTTTTCTCATCCTTTCGTCGAATTTCTCTCATTTACAATCGGAGGAAACGAAGACTAACAAATTCCGAGAACGAGAAGCTACAGATGATTCCAGTGCTTATCCAAATATGTAATGTTTCGATTCACTCCAATCTCTTCTGTTTTTACTTGCAAATGATGTGGGAAATTAGTTGTTTTGACTTAATTTTTCTGTAATGCTAATTCTTGGTTTTAATTTTAGCTGCATTGTGTTCTTTAGTGTTTAATGAGTATTTGTTGTGTGTATTAGCGTGAATTTTGATCAATCTCCTATTTTGTGTTGCTAAATTTGGAGTTTAGTCAATCTCTTTTATATTCAATTATACGCACCATGGAAAATTGTATGCTGATTTAATGTTGTTGTAAGAGAGATCTTTGTTTTCAACTCTTGCTTCCTTGTTGTTTTATACTCTCCCTATTTCAATTTATACGACATAGGTTGACTGGCTACAAAGTTTAAGACAAAAGGGAATATTTTTGAAACTTATGGTCGGAACAATTGTGTCGTTATAAAGCTTTTGAAACTGCTGGTTTTAAATATGCCATAACATTTTTGTGGTTATAAAAGCTTCTTATTAAGGGTAAAATGAAAAGTTCAAGTTAAATTGTTTCTGAATTTAGAAATGTGTCATTCATTTTGGAATAGATTGATACGGAATTGTGCCATTCTTTTTGGAATGGAGGGAGTAGTAATTATTGGAAATTTCTCTACTTATTTTTCGTGATTTTTCTTTTGTCAGTTTCATACTCTGTTTAGCAATATTTGCAGTTAATTGATGATAGACTAAGAAAGCAGTAAGAGCTCTGGAGGATAAATTAATAAAGTTGAGACTGTATGTTTGACGAAGGGAAAAGGGTAAAAAATGTCCTCCTTCCATCTATTGGATAAAATTTGACCCTCTTCCACCTATTGTATAAAATATATCCTTAATGTAGTAGAAGTGGCTCAAAAATGCCTCCTTCCAAGTTCCACCTATTGGATGAAAAATATCCTTAAATTTTAACTAAATATGTGGCCTTCATTAAATACGTGCCCATGGCCTTCACTAGTTCTCACAATGAGATTCATTTAGTTGATAATCATACTATCATCAACTCCCATGGTCCCATGAAAAATGGAAGCTTATGGCTGGCTCTCAAGTACTGAAATAATTGTGATATATGCAATATATAAACTTTTTGTAAATACTAAGCTTGAGATAAGCAGCCCCGCAATGCTCAAATTTTTTGAAAGAAATGACATCGCAATATATGCTAGTTCAAATTTTATGGGACCAATAAATAAGTCCACGTATTTAATTAAATTTCATATAATTGTGTCGTAATTGAAGGGTCAGTTTTAAGCCTGAAAATAACTTTAGGGGCAAGCTTGTTCCAATAGGTGGAGGGAGAGTATTTTTGAGCCATTTCTAAGATATTAAAGGCATTTTCACCCTATAAGTGGAAGGAGGAGATTTTAGAGCCATTTCTAATAATTTAGGGACATTTTTTTATCCTTTTCCGTTTGAGGAATATGCTCTCATTCTTAGTTTCTTTTTGGTGGACCTATGAAGTTCCAGTTTGTACGGAAATTCTTCCCTTTTCTTTTTTTTATTTGACATCATGAGAGAAATGGTTAAAAAGTGCTTCAACTTTTCTGCTTATCAACAAGACAATTAAAAAATTGTTGAGTTTTTTAAAATGTATTCTGCAGAGATGAGGATGAATTGCTGAATACACAATGCCCCCAGCATTTGGAGCTAAGATGGCAGACAGAAGTTAGTTCTAGCGTGTATGCCTCGCCCTTGATAGCTGACATTAACAGGTAACATGATACAAGCTTCTGATTTTTGTTCTGTAATTTATTTTGTTTGACATGTTCTGTATTTGTTTCTTGGATTGCGATTCTTTAGTGGTAAGGGTTCTGCATTAACTTACTGTCACAAACTAGTTTAATCAATGGAACTGTGATGAAAGAGAAAAAAGAAAGTTATTCATATTGATTTTCTTTGTTCTGGTGGCTGGAATTTATAAGAGAGATAACCAGTGAATTTACATGGTAAATGAGTGTGTCTTCAAGCACACTCCCCTCTCATCAAAGAGACAAATAAAAGCAAAATGTACCATTTTACCAGTTCTACCAAATTTGACGAGTATGAGTTTTTGAAGTTTAACAATATCATTGCAATGTTTTCTTAATCTATTCCTTTTGGCTCATTTGTTCATCCTAACAATATTTTCAATTTCTTTGTTAGTGATGGGAAGCTTGAGGTTGTAGTTCCCTCATTTGTTCATTACTTGGAAGTTCTGGAAGGTTCTGATGGAGATAAACTGCCAGGTATAATTTGTGGGAGGTTGGTAGTGAGAGTAAATTCAAGAACTTCTATGAAAATTTAAATGAAAACTATTTGGTTAGCCACAGAAGACTGGAAACACCCCGTACCTGGTGCATAGTCACCCAAACTAGCTTATAAATTGGATCTGAATTCAAATTTGGCATATCGAAGGACAAAATAATGCCTTATATGAATATTTTTCTTGAAGAATACTCATGAAATGTGAGAATTATGTAAAATGGGGATGATATTTCTGTTAATTATATTACTTCACCTTATCAGGATGGCCAGCTTTTCATCAATCTACCATTCATTCCAGTCCTTTACTGTATGACATTGACAAGGATGGAGTGAGGGAGATAGGTTTGGCCACCTACAATGGTGAGGTGCTCTTTTTCAGGTAATGCTACAGCATCTTTCTTTATATTGTCTTCTTTTAGTAATCAGATATTTTCTTGATTCAACATGACATGGTTAGCATCTAAATAGGGTGTCAGGATACTTGATGTCTGATAAACTTGAGATTCCTCGGTTGAAGGTCAAAAAGAATTGGTATGTGGGTTTGAATTCAGTCCCTGTGGACCGTTCTCATCCGGATGTCCACGATGACCAACTAATCCAGGAGCATCTGATGGAATCTGTAGTCCGTAAGTATTTCCCTTTTTTATGTGCAAGTCAAATGCATCTTTACCTCCATGAGGTAGTGGTAAGGTCTGTGTAGATTCTACCTCCCTAGACCTCACTTAGTGGGACTTCACTAGGTATGTTGTTGTTACGTGCAAGTCAAAATGGGCATAGAAATTCTTGGATTTTTCCATTGATGTATCTTTCTTTCCTCTTCTAATGCCTGTTTGTTTTCCTTACATATACAAAACTGAACCAGAATAGGATCGCAGTGATCTTTTCTTTTCCAAGTGTGCTATGACACTTGTTAGAAGTCTGAAGCAGCAGCAATTGAACTTCATTCATTAATTTTATAAGTTAATAGTGCTGGGATCAAAATTTACTGCCTCTTAAACTATAAATTATCCAGTTTGAATTCTTTCTTCTAGTATGTATTATGGTTTGTCACTTGTATTTTGGTACCTTGGGTAACATTTCATCTATAATTGGGCATCTTATCATGTTTCATGGACTTAAAACTTGTAGCGAGAACCTGCGCTCCCTGTTTATATGTTTTGTCTTATTTCAGTGTTTTCCAGTGGGATTTAGCCTGGATTCAGCCTTCAGTATCTATTTAGATTTAACAAGCTACTATGGAATGACTAGTTTCTTGAAGTGATCATATCTTTGTGTTTCAGGAGATACTCATGCATGTCATTTAATTAACATTTCCCGTCCTATGATAATCCCTTTGGCCTCTTGAAGTGGAAAGCCATGGGTTTGACCTGCATCAACTTTTACTATATCCTATGACATATCATAGATGTGAAAATTTTCTTTTAGGTCATAATGCATCTAGTCACAGTGGCAACCATTCAGACTCTACAGCATCGGCTGTTCACAATGAGACACATTCTGTTCTGGAAGAAGTCCACCATGATGCATCTAGTCACAGTGGCAACCATTCAGACTCTACAGCATCGGCTGTTCACAATGAGACACATTCTGTTGTGGAAGAAGTCCACCATGATGCATTTAATGCTTCAATATCTTTGCCATCAGAAGTTTCACATGACAACTCTTCTAACATGGCTAACTTAAACAATAGTATTCTGAGTTCTGAAAATGAGAAAATTAGGAATTTGGAAAATGGAACCAATACCGGAAGAAGGCTTCTTGAAGATGACGTGTCAAAAAGAGCTGAGGAAGATGTTCAAGCTGCAACTGTGGAAAATGAAGAAGGTCTAGAAGCGGATGCTGATTCATCTTTTGAGTTATTTCGTGACAGTGATGAGTTGGCAGATGAGTATAATTACGATTATGATGATTACGTTGATGAGCACTCGTGGGATGATGAAGAATTTCAGGAGCCAGAGCATGAGAAAGTAGAGGATTATGTGGATATTGATGCTCATGTTTTGTGTACGCCTGTAAGTCTTTTACAAGGTTATAAGATAGATATTTATTATGATCCCGATGGTTTTATACTTTTAAGGGTCATTTCATTTGTATCAGGTCATAGCAGACATTGACAATGATGGGGTGTCAGAGATGATTGTTGCAGTTTCCTATTTCTTTGACCATGAGTAAGTTCTCTCTTATGAGGTGCTGTTTTTGTTCGTAATGCTGTCTTGTTTCGCTCTGCTGACTGTGTCACTGCTGATTGCTTCATTTATTGTGTCATTAGAAAGTTACTATTTTTTCCTGGTGCAGTGCATGCTTAGGAACACTGCAAAATATGTGTTTCTAATTGTCACTTGCAAAACATGTTAGTTTTGGGGAAAGCGGCTCTTATCTATAATCTGATAGTTGCTAGGCTTGTTGAACATGCTGGAATTAGGTTGTTACTAATCTTGAATCAGCTCTGCATTGGATAGGTTGATTTCAAAGCACAGGTCAGCTCTGACAATTAGTGCAATTAGTAGAGTCTAAGATCTTTTGAGTGTTTCCTATTCGTGTCTCAGCCACTACTTCTTGATGTCTCTCATCTTTGCTAATTGAGGACGCTTAAATTTCTTATGGAACACATGTGCTTTGAAGTAACTCATGTCAATGTCAGCCCCTTTGTTTGCTTCATTTAGGTGTCTACTAGCATTGGCAACAACTATTGCAAGTTTAGTCTAGTGCATATGTCACTGCCGATTGATTTTTAATCAACAGGTACTACCAAAATTCGGAGCATTTGAAGGAGCTTGGAGACATTGAAATTGGAAAATATGTATCTGGTGGTATTGTTGTTTTTAATCTAGATACCAAGCAAGTTAAATGGACTCTACAGCTGGACCTAAGTACTGACTCAGAGAACTTCCGTCCCTACATCCACTCTGCCCCTACGGTAGTTGATTTGGATGGTGATGGAAATTTGGACATTCTAGTTGGGACCTCTTATGGAATGTTTTATGTCTTGGATCACAAGGGTAATCGGTTTTCATTTGTTTTATCTTCTTGTCATGTTGCTATATACTTTTTAAGCATCTTTAAACTTTCAAATTCTATGATCCACCTGAAAAGTAAATACCCCTTTTATGCCATGATATTTTTACTTTGTGCCATTTTCTTCTAAAGCTTGCATGTGCCCTTTCCCTGCTAGCTTTCCTTTTAGATTGATTAAGCCCATGAGTTTGAGGTAGTTCCTGGTTGAAACCAATAGGTATTGATTGGTGCAACTGTATCCTATTGACTTGGGTTGTAGACATGTCTATCTTGTAGACGAATAAGCAAGAGCATCCTTTTGTAGTCTGATCTGTATATATTATTGTGCATCATAGCCTTTACCATTTCAAAGCAAAAATATTATTGTGCATCATCATAATGTTTTGAAGGCTCAAAGATTTACTGTGTCAGGGAAAGTGAGGGATAAGTTTCCTCTTGCAATGGCTGACATCCAAGGAGCAGTAATTGCAGCTGATATAAATGATGATGGCAAGATTGAACTAGTTACTACAGATTCACATGGCAATGTTGCTGCATGGACTGCACAGGGCAAAGAAATTTGGGAAAATCATCTTAAAAGCCTTGTTCCTCAGGTACACTATGGTTTCCTGTCTCCTTAAATTTAGGCCGAGTGTGATATGAATTGCAAAACTTTTAAAACCCCAGGGACCTGCCGTTGGTGATGTGGATGGGGATGGCCATACCGATATCGTTGTTCCAACAGTTTCAGGGAATATTTATGTTCTGAGTGGCAAGGATGGCTCCATTATACGCCCATATCCTTACAGGACTCATGGTAGAGTGATGAATCAAGTTCTTCTTGTTGACTTGACCAAACATGGGCAGAAGAAAAAAGGGCTTACAATCGTTACTACATCATTTGATGGTTACTTGTACCTCATAGATGGACCTACATCATGTGCTGATGTTGTAGATATTGGTGAAACATCGTAAGATATATCCTTAGATTCTCTATTTCTTCTTTCGTCTGTTCTCTTTTAAAAGGATAAGATCTTTCAAAAAAACATATTTGGACATCTTCTTTTCTCTGCTCTTGTTCACAGATACAGCATGGTCTTGGCTGACAATGTTGATGGTGGAGATGACCTCGATCTTATTGTGACTACCATGAATGGCAATGTCTTCTGTTTCTCGACACCTTCTCCACATCATCCCCTCAAGGTACTCAACAAGATCATCCTTTTTGGCTTTTGCTTGGTTAAGATCTTTGATCAGTAGTATCTGCATGATATCAACTGCAGTCATGGAGATCACCTAACCAAGGGAGAAATAATGCTGCATATCGATTAGATCGTGAGGGAGTCTATGTTACTCCATCATCAAGAGCTTTCCGTGATGAAGAAGGCAAAAGCTTTTGGGTTGAAATAGAAATTTTTGATAAATACAGATACCCATCTGGGTCTCAAGCTCCATATAATGTCACGGTAAAAGAGCTTTACCTTCTAGTCAAGTTTGCCTTATATTAATAATTAATCTCTCTCACTGCTTACTAGTGAGTAATGGTCCTTTTTTTATTTCTCAATTACTACACAGGTGAGTTTGTTAGTACCTGGCAATTACCAAGGTGATAGAACTATTAAGCAAAATAAGATATTTAATCAACCTGGAAAACATCGGCTTATGCTCCCAACTGTTTCTGTGAGAACTGCTGGTACAGTGTTGGTGGAGATGGTTGACAAGAATGGGCTATATTTCTCTGATGATTTCTCCTTGACATTCCATTTTCATTATTATAAGCTGTTAAAATGGCTTCTCGTTCTTCCTATGCTGGGGATGTTTGGTGTGCTTGTCATTCTTCGTCCGCAGGAGGCCATGCCATTACCATCATTTACGCGAAACACCAACCTCTGATGTTGCACAAATAAAATACAACACATCTTCATCGGGTTATAGAAATGAGGCATCTTCTCCAGCTGGAACTTTGAGCTGACAACGGCCTTTGTGGCCAGCGGGAATGTTCAGCAATTCAACTGTGACTAGTACGTTGAACTGTATAGGAAAAAAGGGACAATTGCTTTTGATCCTACCTGAATATGAATTGTGAGCATACAAGTCGGTTTGTGACATTATTGTACCCCCTTCCCCAGGTGTAACTTACTTATAATTGTTAGACACATTCGAGTAAACAATGACTATTTATGGAACCACAAGTTTGTTCCAAGGCGGTTAACTTTCATTTCCCTCAGAAGTTTTGTACTCTTACTTTAGTACTGTATGATGACAATAGAGCTAAGTTCGACCATCTTATTGAACCACATTGTTCTTCTGTCAGATTGTTTATCGTGTGTGTTTGAGTTCACCATTCATGCTTTTGCCAGTAAAGTTGATCTTATTATTGTATTACTTGCCTCGTTACAATTGAAGAGACCATAATCAATAAGCTGGAACTGACCGTAGATTTCTTGAACTGTTTATGTTACTTCACAAATTTCGTTAATTCATCATTTTCCCTTCATTACAGTCGAGATTTCAATAGACGGTACCAACATTTTCTAATCAAGACATGGGATTATACGATCTTGCGTCAAGATGAAACATAAATTTCAATTCTAATTTAACCTCTTATTTTATTTAAAATGGGATTTTGACCTTGAGAATGCATAAAGAAGTGCCAATGGAGAATGTAAGATAAATATTGGTTGATTTACATGCATCTTTACAAACAAACTCTCTATCCAACATGCCTTCCTTGATTTATCTGATCAGATACCTACGAAAAACAACCATGTGTGGAACAGTTCTTCAAGGACAATGCTCCCGCCTCGGAAAATGATCTTATCATTGCTTTCTTCTGGCAAACTAGATCACAATGAGTTAAATTGAATCAAGAAGCTCGTAATGGATGGGTTTGAGTTGTCAGTTGAGCAGCCGACCCAATCATGAAGCTATAATGAGGAGTATTTTACAATAAAACAAGTATTTTGAGCAGATATTGGGACATGGATCGAGACTGGGAACTGAACTCTATAAGATAGAATCCCCTGAACTATCAGCTCTTCGACTCCCCTCTATCTAGTGGCTTACCCTCCACACAAGCTCCAACTGACAAAGGGAAAAGACTCACCCACGACAAGGTTTTACATGTAGGCAACAATGGATATATTGGAATATCTCACCAGCGTTAAACATATATGGGTTGTTCAGAGTGGGCAGGTGAGCCAGGAGTGCCATAACAAGCAAATTATGTTACCACAAAATGTAGAATTGGAGTGACTGAACTAATAACCTGTAAGCTGCCTAGTGTTCCAGTGTCTACCCTAATAGGTTATCCTGCATAACCAACCTACTTTGGCAAAAAGACTACAACACTTTGAAGTGAATGCGAAAACCTTTCTAAGAATTGAACACGGAGTCCATGTACTTGCACTAGTAGCTTTCCCCATGTAAAAGGGCAAGGCATACACAATATTTGAGACATTAACTTGGGGCCATGTTCAATAACGTACTCCAAGGGACGACTAAGAATGAATATTTAATACTTCCTACTAAACAAACTGTTAAAAGTAGAATTTCAAAAATCAAATGGAAGAACAAAGGTAAAACAACTCTTCAGCTGAGTTTGGCCATCATGACTCAAAAGCTATTTCCAATTCTAACTCATTAAAGATATAACAGAAGATTTTACAGAACCATTGAGGTTGGAATTTAGCTAAGTTGAGGTTCTAAGCATTCCACGATCAGGTCAGTCAAGCAAAGGGAGTAAGTGAAAACTGCCATACTGTGGCTGAGCCACCTTCGCCCAAGGATGGTAAATTGAATCCCCTCTTGACAATTGAGTTCTAAACAAAATCAAATCACATTCTCTTTTAATAATAACAGTGTCCGGGGAAACTTGTGTTCGTCTTGACTATTCCACCAAGTACCTGCTGCCTCCCACCAGATACCAGGTAAACTTTGCCCAGCAAAGCTTAGGCAAATGGGAAGGAACACTTTTAACTTTATTATGACTCGGCTGGGATTTGAACCTCAACCTTGTGAGTAAGAAGAGCTACACTCCCTTACTTGGTAGCATAAAAAAATTCAAGTCATACATAACATGTGCTTATATTAGATTTGTATCATCAAGGAACAAAACTAGTATAGCAAAAAACACTATCCATCGCAAAGTTGACAACCAACAGTAGATTTATATACAAGTTTAGAGAATCCAGTATCAGTCTGTAAATCTGAACAGAAAGAAAAAGCATTTGCTGATGCACTTACAAGTATATCCATCAGAACAAAGACAAAAGAGCTTAGAAGAACATTAATAGACCTGTAAAACAGGCCTTTTGCCAAGCCTTTTGATTTCTCTATCCATTTGACCAGTGAGCATCAAACCAAACATCTTGAAATCACATAAGAAAGACCAAAAAGGGTGTCCAAATGTTGCAGGAACATTCCCTTCAACAAAAAAATGACTATACCAAGCCAAGCCATACCCAAGAATTGGCACAAGTATCACAAACCACTTATTAAACAGCACTGTGTAAACCAAGCATAAGATACTGCAAAGTGTACCAACAAAATGCCAACGCCTTGTTGCTGGTTTTGAGTGATGATTCATGTAGTAAGGCCAAAACTCCTCCATGCTTCTGAAATTCATAGCTCCCCACAACTGCAAACTTAATTAAACAAACAAAAAATTGGAATTCTTGATTAAAAATCAGATCTTGGAACCAATCATCAATAATACAGAAATATTTTATCAAGAAAAACAGTTCAAGAAACCCCAAAAATGCTTAGTTGAATTAATTTTCTTGGGGGGTTTTGGCTCTAAGGTCAATACCTTGGAGTTCAAAATCAAAAACCCAGAAATCTAATCAACAAATTAAGGTTTTGGGTATGACAAAAACACAAACTTTAGCAGCAAGATCCAATAAAAATTGGTGTGGTTGACCAAGTATCTGATTTTTTTAATTATTTTTTTAAAAAAGATGTAAAATTGTGGGCCTTACTAGGTAATACTATTTTGTTTGGGAAATTAAAGAAATAAAAAAGGAAAAGGTGGGTTTGAAGTTATCATCTTCAAAATAGTAAAATGGTCTTTCTTTTTATCAAAGATGTGTGATGGCAAAAGAATATATGAGATTTCAGAAATATGTTGATTTGGTCCCATTTTTATCTTGTTTTTTCCATGTTGACCATTGTCATTTTTGTTAGAGCCCGTTTAGATTGACTTAAAAGTTGGTCAAATATACTTTTAAGTCAGTTTTTAACTTCTGAAAGTGTTTGACAAATATAAAAAATAACTTAAAATAAGTTACGAAGTGTTTGGCAAGGTAAAAAAATGACTTAAAATAAGTTAGAAACCAAAAGTAGGTCTCCCCCTACTTTTTATTTTTTGACTTAAAGTTATTTCAGTTTGACTTTTTATTTTTGACTTAAAAATTACTTTTTTTAAGTCAATCCAAACGGAGTCTTAGTTTGTTACTTGTTGGATAGCTTTAAAAAAATAGTTTGTTACTTGATGACTTTGGGGATTGGTAATTGAATATCACTAGGCCATTTGCTACCCAAAGAAAAAAGGCATAATACATATATTAGCTCCTAAACTTGGCTTCAAATTTTAACTTTGATCTCCAATTTTCATAATGCACAAATAGACACTTTAACTATCCTACCTTTAAATAAATAAACACACGATTTTCGGAGCCAAAAAGCGTGAAATGCAAACGCTCCCACGTGTATTAGTGACTCACTCAATGATTGCCAACTAATTAAATATTTTACACGTCATTTTAGAACTAAAAAAAATCAAAATTAATTTACTATATATCACTACTAATATATAAGTATGAATAAGCACACAGCTGAAGGTCAACACGTGTGCTTCAGCTGTGGGCTTATTTATCATCAGCCAAAAAGTCCTTGATTTTCAATGCATGTGGGCCCGTTTTCTTGTCTATTTGACACCTTTTCAATTTGTCATGCATTTATTTCAATCTCTTTTAATGGATATGGACCCCACCTCACTAATTCCATTCCCTTCTCTTTATTTCCGCCTCACAACTTCTTCCTTCACTTTCATTTTGTGGTAAATTAATATTTGAAAATGTCAATTATTCAATTTATAATTTATTTGTCTTATTTCTTTTTTTAATTTATGTGTATTCAAAGATTACATTTAAGATACTATAAATTATTAGACTTAATATTTAAAATATTTTATTACAAATTTGAAAATCACGTAATATACACTATTAATTACAATAATTACTAATTTAAAATATTTTTTCAATCTAATAAGAGCCTACAAACACACTATACGTTATATGGACCAAAAATCCTATAAACCACAATAATTAACAACTTAAAAAATTCTGTTATATATTTAAAATGATGTTAAAAGTACTATAAATCATAATTAAAATATATATTTTTTAAATTTTTTTTTTTGACTCTTGAAATTCTATTGGTGACACATGAATTTGAATAGATGGAACAATATATATTATTGAAAGTTAACAATACTATAAGTTATTCGAAAATGACGTTAATGATTTTTATAAATTATTACAAATTAGCAACCCACCACATTGTCGACATGTATGCTTTCTGTGATTAAAATTTAGTTTAAGGGTTATTTTGGTCATTTAAGGATTTTTCTTTAAACTTCAAGCTTTATTAATAGTGATGTATTCATTTTAGAGTTAACATGAACGTTTACTACCATATAAATATATATAATTTATTCAAATTTAAAATTTAAAACTATTTATTTAACGTCAGTTAAAAATTAACTTTTAAATAATTATGCACGGGCTCTTCATCACTAGTATATATATATATATATATATATATATATATATAATATAATAAGCGGGAATAGAGAGGACCTTGGGGTCGACACGTGTTCCTTTTTCCTTGTGGACAAA